TTTTGCTTCTCCGAGTGCCAGGCCTTTGTACCAGTCCACAGCTTGTCTGACTTCCACCATCTTTACTCAGCTGTCACATCTGTCCTTGAGTTGACTGGTCAACTAAGGCTGGGGGATCAGTGATGTGTGCTGGCCAAACCTGACCCTGGGACACCAGAGGGCTGACCTCGGGAAGCTTCCAGAGTGGTCTGTACTACAGCGAAGGACGTGAGGTCACTGGAGGACAGGTCATTGGTGGACGTCTGGCCAAGGGCTGTGGGGAACAGTCCTCGCATCTGGAAGCAGCAGTGCCCCCACCCCAGGAAGTAGTGTCCCAGTGAAGTTCAGGGACTCTGCATGGAGTGGCCTGCACCCCCTCACCCCACACTCAACTGTTGCAGGCAGCCAGGCCGAGTGGCTGGATAGGAGGAGCCCCAAGGAGGATCCCCCGGCAGGAAGAGCCCCTAGGAGGAGCCCCAAGCAGGAGGAGTCCTGAAGAGGAGCCCCAAGGAAGAGCCCCTAGGAGGAGCCCCTGGAGGACCCCCAAGGAGGAGCCCCTGTGGAGCCCCTAGGAGGAGCAAGGTCCTTGCACGGAGGCAGGCGGCATACGGCCGCTGTCATCTCAGGAATGCCTTTGATCCGGGGTTTGTGTGAGGGGGAACGTGGACCCAGGGACTCTAATCCTTTCCCACAGTCCCCTGGCCGGCCTGAGAGGCCCCCAAGCCCTGGCCCAAGCAGGGCCAGCAGCCTGGCAGACAATAGCAGGAGGGTGATGAGCGGCCCCTTCCAGAGCCACTGGCCTGGGGGTCCAGCACCCAGGACCTTGTCAGGGCAGATCCACGGGCAAGCTGGTGCCAGGGAGCACACTGTGGCCCCGACCTCAGACATGGTGTCCCTGGGCCTTGGCCCCCACCACCCTACCGCCCGGCCAGCTCTTGGAGCAGATCGGGTTAACCAGCTGACCATGCCCCGGAGCGAGGTCCCCCACGCCAGGCTGTGCGAGCCACAGTCATTGAGGGGATGCCCTCGAGTGGCACACAGGTGAGCGAAGGCTTGCCCTGTCCTGCACCATCCCATCATGCTCGGGCCCCCCGTCCCGTCCCCCCACGCTCGGGGCCTCATGTGCGGTTCTGCCATGCTCAGGCCCCATGTCCCGTTCCCCCACGCTCAGGGCCCCTGTCCCTCTCCCATCCCCCCACGCTTGGGTCCCGTCCCGTCCCCCCAGGCTCAGGCCCCCTGTCCCATCCCCCCACACTCAGGCCCTTTGCTGTAGTCCCACGATCCATCTTGTTGAGAGAGCTCTTCACTGACCCTTTTGATCCAAGCAAGATGCCCTTCTCCAGGGACTGGCCCTCCTAGTGATGGTCCCCTGGCTCTGCTCCCAGGGGACACTGGGTGCACTCCTCCAGCTGATCTGTTCATCTGGCACCCACGGCACAGTCCACTTGTCACCAACACAGTGGAAAGGGCTGTCCCGGCACGCCATGGTGGGGACTGGTGGTGACCGCTGGGGTCAGCTTCCTCGTCCAGAGCACATGGACACCCCATCTCTCACTGACAGGTCAGAACCTCTCCCGGCTTCAGGCTCACAACTTCACCTCAGTCACTGAGGACGTGGAAACAGTGAGAATCAGGGCCAGTTCCCTCACAGGCTCTGATCTCAGCAAGTTGGTCACACCAGCATCTTCAGGTGTGACAAGAGGAATCACACACACGTAAGGTCACAACAGTGAGGCCACCTCCTCCAGGAAGACTTCCTGGCATTCCCTAAGCCCCAGGCAGTGCTAGATGGCTACAAGCAGGATCCCAGCTCACAGTCCAGGGTGGCTGGTAGGACAGAGTGCCCAGCGAGGGATGGCAGGGGTCGGAGCTGGCAGAAAGGCCAGAGGGGACCAGGTCAGTCTAATGCCAACAGTGACTCTGTCCCCCTCATGAAGTGAAGCCGGACACCCCCACAGGCGGTGTGTTGCAGCAGGAAAGGACTGCCTCCCATGTCACGGGGACCTAAGTGTCATCTTTTCTCTCCAGTCACTGTGTTGGCACCGGGTGCAACCCCGTGCTTCTACTTCTCAGCCACCGCACCTGACTATTTAGGGGAACAGACTGCCAGGCCTCCCAGAAGGCCACTGGCGGGCTCCAACGGCCAATCTCTCGACAAGCAGGCCCTGAGACCCCTCCCCAACCCCAGGCCTGTGGGAACACCACCAGGTCTCGGCTGCCAAGTCCACTTTGACTCACAGCTGCCGTCCACCCTGGTCCTGGTCCCCAGGTGGCAAAGGTAGAGGGACCAGCCCCTGGCCCCCCAGAGCGCCTGGTGAACGCCAACCTCTGACCATCCAGTTAGCGGGGGACACAGATACGATACACACAGTGCCATCAGGAAGTCATCGCTGTCCAGGCAGCACAGACAGACCCACAGCCCACCCTCCAGGGCTTGTTCAGAGGCTGAAAATCACACAAAACGCTCATCTTTCTCACAGTGCACTGGGTGGATCCGAACCACTGACCCTGCTGTTAGCAGGACACAGACACATTCTGCATCGCACCACCAGAGCTCTTCACCTCTCAAAGCCAGCGGCCCTATGCCCTGCAGGCACCAGCGATGCCACCCAACCACGCCCACTGTGGCCTGGGACACCGTGCGGTCAGCTCAGTCCATGGTGACGGGGGGACCACTGTGCAGTCAGCTCCGTCTGTTGACGTTGCGGGGTGAGGGGTGCTGTGCGGTCAGCTCAGTTCACTGTGGCTGGGGGACCACTGTGCAGTCAGCCCTGTCTGTTGACGTTGTGGGGTGAGGGGTACTGTGCAGTCAGTGCTGTCCACTGTGGCGGGGGGACCACTGTGCTGTCAGCCCTGTCTGTTGACGTTGGGGGGTAAAGGGCGTCGTGCGGTCAGCTCAGTCCACGGTGACGGGGGGACCACTGTGCAGTCAGCTCCGTCTGTTGATGTTGGGGGGTAAGGGGCACTGTGCGGTCAGCTTAGTCCACTGTGGCTGGGGGTTGCCATGCGGTCAGCTCCATCTGCTCAGGCTGGGTGTGCTATGTGGTCATTTCCAACACAGGATGGCCCGCCAGGTTTCCCAGGCTGCTTTCTGTCCAGATGCCCAAGGCTGTGCCCTCAAGGCGCTGGGGGTTTGAGTACTTCACTTCGTGCCACCGGAGCCCTGCATGCAGGCTGCACAGGAGACACACGGGTTGAGACGTCACAATGGGCTGTCCAGGCAGCAGGACGCTCACCCTCACATCACCCACTGGTCCCAACACTTGGACGAGGGAACCAGACTGGAATCTGAATGACAAAGCGTCCCTCGCAGGCTTCTGTGTTAAAATAATATTTTTTATTTTCTTCTCCAGTTATAAAAATGATGTATCATCAAAGTAGGCAGCACCCAAAAGAGGCATGAACGTCCATTAAAGACAAGAGCCCATCACCCCAGCGCCCCGAGAGAGAGCCAATCACAGCTTTGTCTCAGGTCCAGGTCACGAGGGCAGCGTCCAGGCAGCAGGCGACCCTGCAGAGGGCCAGCACTGAGGACGCACAGTGGCGGAGTGCACACGGAGAACACACAGGATGGGGCCATGCGGAGGACTGCTTCCAAGGAGACAGCCTGTTGTCCCCCAGAGCCCATGCCGTCCTCACCTCGTCCCTGGACACCAGCTCACGAAGCAGTGTCCCTGGCCCAGGAGGTGAAGGCCTCCGCTCACCATGTGACAACGTGACTGTTCCACGTGTGGGCTGGGGTGCCGTGAGCACCGGCTCCTGCTTGGGCAGGGGAATGGGAGGTGGGGGAGCTGCACGCAGACAGGGACCCGAGCACACGCAGCGTCCCACAGAAAAGCCCGGAAGGCTGGCTCACGGAGGCCTAGGTCCTCCGCCCACGGACACACTCGGGAGGACTCGTTCCAAGGAGGCGCAGGTCCCCAACGGAAGGCCAGAGAACATCCATCTCCCGACCTCACCCAGCCTCAGGCTTCAAGGGGACCCTTCCCCTCACTGTTGTTGAGAACGTCCGCTGGTCGACAGCCTCACACGGGCAGGTCAGGCGGCGGGTGGCCCGGTGCTGGCCGTGCTGTTCTTCCTCCAGGAACAGAGACTCCGCGACACTCCCCACCTAACTGTCCACAGCTGCTGTGATGACCCCACACGGCAGACCCCAAGGGAGCCCCGTACTCAGGGCAGAAGCCCCTCTCCAGTCAGGCTGAATCCTGCGTGCCTGTGAGGAGACTGGGGGGAGTTTTCCAGTTTAAGAGATGTGCTCAGCCCTGGCTCTGGGCCCAGAGGACAGGCATCGGGCTCCCTGGCAGCCACGGCCCTGTGACTGTCCACAAGCACTGCAGGGGGTGGCCCCCACCATCGACAGTGGAGCCCAGGCCAGGATGCCCAGGGCCTCCACCATCAGCCCAAGCCAGGATGTCCGGGGCCCCCCGCCAACATCGGCAGAGCCCAGGCCAGAAGCCCAGCTCCACACGGTGCCACCAGGTGCTGGCCGAGGAGGTGGTGTGCACTGCTGATCGACTTGGGAATCCATGCTTTGGACCAGCCAGCCCCCAATCTCAGCTTCCTTACCTGTGGAATGGGAATCTGAATGACCACTCCGAACCTGGCCAGAGCTGGGGACACAGTGCCTGGACCTGAGCTGGTGACGCCTCCCCACTGGCCCAGCCCATCTCCTCAGAAACTCATCTCCTGAGTGTCCAGTCCAGAGGGTGAACCCACTAAGCCCTCCTGGTGGGGGACTCAAATGACACTCTGTACCAGGAGAGGGCTCAGCCAGGGCTCGACCAGGGCCTCGTCTGACACCAGGGCTGACACCCAACACCCCACAGAGGAACAGCCACAGGCTCTCAGGGACCAGGGAGACACAGAAGAACCCTCGGGGGACGGAGGCCCGCTCACTGCTCACACTGGACCGCTTCCCACAGGACAATGAACGTCCGCTCATTGTTCAGCCTTTAATCACGTTTGTAAACACCTCACGTACAGACATCTGCTCTTCCATGATCCATCTCTGCCCATCATCCTCAAAATGAGAGTCCAGAACCTTCCAAGTGAACCTTAAAGTCCGGCTGAACATTCAGCAGTGAGCAAAGCTGAGAACACAGGAGGCAACAAGGTGAGAGAAAGGTGGCTTCCAACCGCGTGTGCTTTCATGCCCCGTCAGAGCCTAACCTCCTCCACCTGCAGCCTAACCTCCCACCTGGAGCCTAACCTCCTACCTGCAGCCTAACCTCCTACCTGCACACTAATCTCCTCTCTACCTGAAGCTTTCGCTTCCCATCGGAGCCTAACTTCCTCTCTACCTGCAGCCTAACCTCCTCTCTGTCCGCAGCTCTTCCCTGGGGTTCCGACTGTCCAGTTACCCCGGGGCCGTTAGAATGGAAACGCTGTGAGTGAGTGGCCTTGGTGAGGAGAAGCTGATATTCCCCCAGGGTGAGGGGTCAGAGGCCTGGATTCAGGGCAGGTCTTGCTTTCTGCAGCTGTTTCCTGGGTCCTGAGAGCCCCGGGCATCCTGACAGCACCCTCGCCCCATCTCCCCTCTGTGTGCTTGTTCACCCTCGTCCAGATAAGATACACCTGCCCAACTCCTGCCTCAGCTCACTGCCTTGACAGAGACAAGCTGTCCCAGGTGGGACAGACCCACACGGTGGCCACGTCTGGGGGACACAGTTCAATCCTCAGGTCTCAGGCAGCTGTAAGACTCACCCTCTGGCTGTCATCACATTTCCTGACCGGGGCTCTCTGCTCCGACCCGGCTCACTCGGCCATGCAGCAAGGCCACAGTCAAGTGCGCCCAGAGGCCGGGCAGTGGGGGTCTCAGGGCAGTGCTTCATACACACCTGTTTAAACTTGCCTCTGATCCTGTCTAAGTCTTCGTGGAGTTTATCGTACGTGGGATCGTCGTAAGGGAACTTCTGGATCATTCCGATCAGCGACTCTAAGACTTTCATCTTCTTGCTGTGATACACAGACTGACTTTACTCGTGGGAACACAGCCTCTCCTGTGTTACCCTGCACCACCACCCACTCCAGGCCGTGGGAGCTGGGCTCACACTCAGACGGCATCATGGTTCCATCCCGCCAGGCAGCCTCGTTTACACAGGCGCGTGCACCGTCCACTCCGTGGCCCCATCAAATGCAGACCCACACTGAGAACTGCCTGGCTCCCTGGACTCTGAGCCGGGAACAGGCAGAGCTGGGAGGGAGGCGCGGACAGGGGAGCCCGCCACTCTGGGCCCTGGAATTTGCAGGATTTCCTGGCCTTTGGGAGATGAGCTGTAGGCCGGCTGGCAGGTCGCCTCTCTGAGCTCACCGCTGTCCCTTCTCAGGAGACCGAGCTGGGGGGCGTGCTATGCGGGAATGTTCTGAGCCTTCAAGTCCTCATCTATCACATGGGGAGTAAGGGCGACATCACAGGGTATCACCCGGAGTGGACGATAGGTGCAGCCCAGACACAACACAGAGCAGGCACCTAGTCACTGCTCTTCCCCACGGCCACTGCACCCTGGAGACCAGTGCCCACGGTGAAGGGGGTAAACACTGCCCACTGGCGTCCCCACGGCCACTGCACCCTGGAGACC